TGTGATAATAATTAGTTGTCTATTCTAATTTTAATTACACATCTGACGACCAAACCAACATGTATACCAGTATGCCACAACTGAAAGGGACCTCTGGCTAGAGCAGGGCGATATGGCCAAAAATATTTATCACGATATATATTTGAAAATTTGCGATAACGATATAACTGACGATAACTGATGCGAGACAAAAAACAACTCCACAACTTTACTAGCGCAAAAAAACCCCATCCATTTATTTTCACTTAAACAAGCAGCTGTTTTTTATGTGCATTAAAGCCATATAAAAATTTAACAGTGCAAATGCAAATTCCTTGCTGACAGTTTAACCAAACGGCATTTCCAGTAGAAACGGGCTGACATATCCTGAGCATAACCATGTATAATATCCACTGAAGTTAAAAAGAAGTGCTTTACAACATTAAACTGCTTTGTGCCAAATAAAAAAGTCAAATATGCATTTTTCAGACCATAAGGTGCACGGGATTATAAGGCACATTAAGCAAAACAGTCAGATAAATCAAACTTTATTCAACTCATTCTTCTTCCTCCACTTCTGTATCATTGATTCATTAATGCTGTATTCTATCACAGCGGCTCTATTCCCATGTTGTTGCAGTATATGAATGACTAACCTCGTATTGTGGATGGATTATCTCAGTTGTTCTCCTGACTGAAGTTTGGTCCGTTTACAGCATCCTGCCATGCGATTGCATTTGTCCCTAACCATCGGGAACCCTCACGTTTTATCGAGTGGAAAAAAGTTTGCGTTCATCCTCCAGCTTCACAGCGTTTATGCTAACATAGCTGTGTCGCTAGCGATCACGTAGCACATCATTATATAGCAGTTAGCCCAACTTCAGTAACCCTACAAACGTCACTGCTGTTTAGTTTTCTGTCTTCATTTATGTTGGAAGTGATAACAGAGCTGTACGTTTGAATTCTTTCAGAAATCTCTCAGTCAGAACATGCTATATCATGCTTAGGTAACTAGCGAGCTAACTTCCGCTAACTTCCTGCTAACTTCTAACTCCGTTAAATGTAATAAATTCTGTTTTCATGGATGCCTGGATGTTAAACTTCATAGTTACACCTGGTAAAGCAGCAACGCTGATCGTTTTATTAAAGATGAAAGAATTTAGACAGTTTTTAACTCTCAGTGATGCTGCAGTGTTCGTTTGACTTTGGGACATGAGTGGACGGAGTTTAGGACCCAGATTGCTCCCAGATTTATGAGCACCTTAGTCTGACAAATACGGCAATAACGGCCTGCTTGCATGTTCTACAAACAATGTGCTTTGTTGTGTATCTGACGGACAAACACCAAACCAGTTCCACATCACTGAAGTTGCAGCATTTTTACAACCAATTCTGGTTCATCCGTTTCACTCAACAATCGGCCATGTGCGTATGAAAACAAAGGCACTGCGCATGCGCGTTTTACCCATATTCTATTGCAATATTTCATTTTCTTATCGTTGCCTAACATTGTACCGGTATTACCATGAACGGTATAATATGGCCCAGCCCTACCTCTGGCTCTCTTAGTCATCTTACAATCTTTGGTATCACTGGCATTTCTGGGTTTGGTTATTGGCAGGTTAGTCTGAGCGGTTATAAAGATGTCCTAATTATAAAACTTCCTCTGAAATATGCACAGTCTTTTAACATGACAGCTCTTCCACAGAACATAAGTAGTAATTGGCTGGCTCTGGGTGTTTGGGTGTGGGACTGCAGTCACCCCCTTGTTCTCTGCCGCAACGTGGGCTAGAATACCACTCAGATGGTATAGTAAGAAAAGGGAAAAGAAACACTGTAAATAAGACGTGTTAACCTAAGCACAGGTTGAGCAATATATAAATACGTACAAAATTTTGTTTGATGCTTTCTCACAGAACAAGCAGATGCAGGCCAAAGTGATTTCCTCAGGAAACAGCTACTTGTAGATACAACAAAGACTGCACTTCCTGTCCATTCATTTGACTTTAAACTGTGAACAGAGTCTTAGCCACAAACAGGATTTACATTTATATCTGCACCCGCCGCTACCGTTGGCTGAAGCTTTGGTGATAAACAACCCCGCACAAAAGTACCTTTAAATAGGAAACACAATATACTGACGTCTGGAAATGACAAAGTTCCAACATTACTGGCTTGTTGGTGCACACTATCCAACAACAGTTATGAATACTCTGCATGTCAGCAGCTGCCGGACATGTCTGAACAACACCGCTTCATATCTGTAATCACATCTGTGGGAGGATGTGGACTGAAAAGAATACGTGAGTGTAACTCATAGTGGATTCTTTTGCTGCTGCTTAGCTACAATGTGGCAGTGTCAAGTTGTGGTGAGCGTCACCACCACACTGTGCACTGAAACTTCTTTTCTTTTAAAATAAAAGCATCTGCAGAAAAAAAGGGCAACTTGATTGATTTTACAAAAATGTTCAGTTGTGGTCAAAATGTTATAAAAAAATAGAATATTGTGGAAAAATTTCACCATTCTTCGGGTCACGTGTACCCTAATGGTCACTCAGCTTTGCAAAGGTGCAGTACCAAATCAGTCTTCTCCAAATGTGGTGCGTTTAAGTAAAAAAATAAACCCTTCTCCTTGTCTTTAGATGCAATTGGACTGTGCAAGGACGTGCATATGGTGGCTCATCTTCACACCCTCACCTGGTCTAAAAATATCATTTTTGACACAGAAAGACTTGATCTCTATCCATCTACAACCAGCATTTGTCACCATTTAGTTTCAG